AGATAGATAGATAGATAGATAGATAGATAGATAGATAGATAGATAGACAGATAGACAGACAGATCAGACAGACAAACAGACAGACAGACAGACAGACGCTCTAACAAAAGCATGAATTCTGAAAATCTTACCTGGAGAGTCTTTCATGCTGTAAACAGAGATAAAAGAAGCTCAGATTAGCAATAACAATAATAATTTTAGCAATATAGTTGGAAATATGACGATTATGAAAGTAAATTACAAACAACATAAATCGAGCAGGGCAATAACTCTGGAACTTATTTAGAAACTCTTTGAACTATTTAAAAATATTGCAGTCTAAGAGTTAGAATATATCTATTAAATATACCAATAATAGCAGATATTTCTGGCAACATCACGATAACTCTGGTTATACTAAAGTATCAACATGAACTTTAAAGGAAGTGTTTATATGAAACATATTTATATTAAATAAATGCAGAAGTGCAGTATTAACTGAAGATCTTTTTAAAGGTTGAAACTCATTCTTATACAGTATAACTAATTAACATAGACAGTCTTATATTTAGGCATTTGTCATTTACTACAGAAGAATGAAACACATATTCACATTCAGATAAGTACACTATTCTTTCTGGAGATCTAATGCCAAATATTTTTCCTTAAAAAATTCTATCAAAAGAGTATAACTGTCAAACTAAGTTTGTTTTCACATTAATTATATAAATGACTACAGAAAAATCTGTAAGCATTTATCTACAGGATAAATATTTATGCACATGCAGAGATATTTAACTATATAAACTGAAAAACAGCATTTTATCTTTACTGATTAATTCTGAGATTCTATTTCTATTAGTTCTTTAATGTTGTAACTTTTTAAAATCAGAATTTACTTTGATTTTATTTTTTCAATATCAATCTTAAACAAATCATGTGCTCTCTATTTTATATGGAAAATGTACTACAGTTAATATTAACCTAAATAATGTTTATCACATTCTGATGTGCAGCTGCTGTTATTTGTTCTCAACTATGAAACAGAACTTTTAAAATTTCTTTACATACTACAAAATTAAAACTAAAGAAAAATCTGCTCCAAATCAAACTGAGCAACCTAGAAACCAAATTAAACTAGATAATCTAGGCTTTAGGATTCAAGGCCACATTAGCTTTCTAAATTTCATACTCATAACTTAAACTTATGAAGTAAATTATTTAGAAGAAAAACCTCATTTTATGACAATTTTAAAAGTCATATTTATTTTAACAAGGAAATGGTTTTCTGGCCATCAACATTTCATTATCCAACATTTAGATATTTTCCTGACAATGGCTCTAACAAAGTTTTGCTGCTTAGAATAACTTACTACAGTTCACCATTATTTTATATGTATCATAGGCCAAAGTTTCTTTTGCCAAAAATAGAGAAATATGGAAGTATATGAAAATTCATACCTACACTTAATAAAATAAATAAAATTAATTTTAACGAAAGCTTTTCATAATATGTCAAATATGGAGATAATCCACTTAAAGTATTACAATGTAAGTACTTATGTTCTACAAAGCAATAGCATCTAAACATCCTTGTTTGGGCTTGCAAGTTAAGCAGGACTGAGGCTGGTTAGGACTTGGTTGGGAGACCACAATAGAATTCATTTCTAGCTGTTAACTACACTGGAAAGTAAAAAAAAAATATCCTGTAAGAATTCAGCAGGAAATGATTTCTGTTATACATAAAATTGTATGGATAGAACCATGTAACCGTCAATCAAGCACCACTGGGGAGATTTTACTTAGAATACTTTCAAACAGAAAATTTGTCAAAAGAGGAAGCCCAATTCCAATCAAAGTACTGAGGCAGGCTAGTTTTCTCTAATAACATTGCTATGAAGGAAGTATCTTCTCTGTGTAAATATGCAGCATTCATCTATTTAAGAAGGGTACACTGCAAGGATTGTATTTCCTTGAAAGGAAGACAACCCTGCATTTCCAACAGCTTTCCTGTTTATTCTTTTATCAGTACATCTCCTATTTTAAAGACAAACTGAGGAAAATATTAATCTTTCTAGTAGACAAAGTTGGTATATTGTTCTCAGGCATAACATGTATTCAAATATAAATGTAAAAAAGTGTGTGTGAGTGTATTTGTGTGCATAATCTATAACTTTCATGATTGAGGAATAGAAGATATGGCATCTTTCACCAGTAGAATCTTACTGAAAACATATGTCCAGTTTTACATTTTAATTAAATACTTTTTGAGTATTACATGACAATAGAGTTTAGACACAGTACAAAGAGAAATCAGTACCAGGGAATGGTACAGTTACAGCAAACAGAATGAAATAATTTCTTAAAGCAAGGGGTATAATGCTGACCACACTTTTCAGGAATTATCTTCACTGAAGCAGAAAGAATTATAACTCAAGCTTTTGCCAAGTTAGTCAAGTGAATAAAAAACCTGAGTACATCACAGGAGATTATTTGACCTTTCCTTTAGTACCCATTGGAAAGCTCCAACCTCTTCTGTACTTATAATCCATACCAGTACTTGGTTTGTTTGCATCCCACATAAACCACAAATGCGTAACAATTTTTTTTTTTAATCGAAAGCTGAGACAAGAGTGAGCTTCTGTGTTGTAGGCTGTTTTTTAAAAAAAAGCAAGTCCTGATTTAATGCAGCATTGTTAAGCAGTGGTGGGATTCAAAATTTTTTACTACTGTTCTGTGGGCATGGCTTGGTGGGCATGGCAAGGGAAGGATACTATAAAATCTCCATTCCCACCCCACTCCAGGGAAAGGATACTGCAAAATCCCCATTCCCTCCCTACTAACCTGCTTTCCAGCTCCGTTCTCCTACGCAGGGCAACCAAGGAAGACCCAGCTGATCAGTTGGGACGGGAGGCAAAGAATAGATGGGAGCGGGGCCAGTCAGAGGTGGTATTTGCCGGTTCTCCGAACTACTCAAAATTTCCACTATCGGTTCTCCAGAACCTGTCAGAACCTACTGAATACCACCTCTGTTGTTAAGGGATGCATTTTAACCAAAATTGCAAAGCAGCTTGCATGATATAGCCAGCAAAATTGCTTACAGGTTTTTTCAAAGGAAAAAAAAGCAAATATTAATTTGGTATGGCAATTAGAATGTTATGTAAAGAAAACAGACTTTTCATTATTTGTTTTGGTACCTTCAAATCAGTGTAATTTCTGACAAATGTTTGGACAAGTTTTCTTGACAAAATTTCAGAAGTGGTTTACCATTGCTTCCTTCCTAGGACTGAGAGGTAATGACTGACCCAAAGTCACCCTGGCTTCAGGCATAAGTGGAACTAGAAGTCACACTCTTCCAGTTGTTAGCCTGAGACCTTTAATCAGTAGGATAGACAATGACATAAGGCTGCTATAATTATAGAAGTGTACCATGGATGATGGTCCACAAACTGTAATTGGTACAGCTCTCTCTGTATTTAGGCTATTAATAGAGTTGAAAGGGAACCTTGCAAATCAGACCATAGCATAACAGAAACAATATGTATTTCTTTGTACATTAGTGGCTTCCACATCTCTCTGTAAGAGTAGATGCAGGAAACAAAGAGAGCAAATGTGTCAAACACTTAGCTAATAACCGAGAGTTTATATTTTGTTTCCTGGATAGAAAGCTGCCGCAAAACCAAAAGAGAAGCAACAGTTTAAAAGCAGTAACTCAGCCAATCTACAGAATACTAAGAAGAGCCCCTGAGAGAATTTTCCCAAACTCTTTTTGGCTGACCCAACTGTGAGCTTGTGGCAGTAGTGAAATAAAGAAAACTGAACAAATCAAACTGCATTGCTATGTGTTTTTTACTTTCATTGTGCTTCCTTTATTTCTGTTTTTAATAAAAAGGAACAGGACTAGATACTGGAAATTATTCTGCAATGTTGACAACAAAGGGATTGTAAAGAGCCAGGAAAAACATACTGTTTTGATTGTAGATATGTGTAGGATTATGGAACATTACAAACTTACTTTTAAAATTCAAAAGCATTCACAGATGGCATATGTGTAATTAAAAGCATGTTCTTGAAATTTTTACAAGAATGCAATTTTGAAATGGGGAACTAGGACATAAATAGCCATTTATTCCCCCCCACATGAAGAAAAAACTTCATTAAATTGGCTTCAATTATTTACTTCAGTTACCAGTACTTAATCCAAAAAAGGAACAGGGAAAGGAGAAGACTCTAATATTTATATTTCCAGTACAATTTCCAACAGCTGGGTTCAAAGATTACAAAAATATTTTAAACTCTGTAGCAGAATTTCTTTTTTATCATAGTGTTCTAAATATTGTGCCCAAGTATTGTGCTCCAATGCAGAAATAGCATACTCATTTATGTTAGAGTTGAAATTGCCTAGAATTTGCCAGCAGCATACTGGGAATTGAAATCCATATGTCAAAGTTACCATATTTGAGAAACACCATTTTCAAGTTGACCTGCTTTTTCTCAAGTTCTTGTTATATTTTTGTGTGTACGCTAAATGCATTTTAAGTAATTTAAGTAAGCAGTAATTTAGTGTGTTACTTTAAAAAGCCTTGAAAGACTCGAAAGGCAAAAGGATGATTTAAGCATATTCTTATTTTACTATTAATGTGCAATTTCTATTGCTATTAGGAAATTATTTTCTAATTCAACACTTTTCAGTTAAACATGAAAAAACATGAAATATGTCATAACTTTTCTACAATATTCTGTCATTAGTAATAAAAAATCTTAGCAGGAAAATATGAATTGGAAAACATCAAGGAAGGAACAATTAAGTACATGATTGTTAACATAATTATGCACAATTGTTCCTTCTTTGAGATTTTCCAACTCATATTTTCTTGCTAAGATTCACCTTTTACTCCTAATGATTATGCTGGCGATAGTATATGATTTATTATATAATTTTAACTTCTATTGGCACTTAATTAACTAATAGTTTTAAATCCCAATAAATCAAGCCCAATATGGATTTAACATCTAATAAATAACTAGGTAATCAGATTCAAATCTGATGAATAAGACCATCTAAATTTATATAACAATGTTATAGCTGTGCTAATTTTTCCCATTTTATTCTCCTGGGGGTCTGAATTCAATGAGCATACATGCTATGAAAACTGGGCCTTCTCCCTT